CGTTAGGCTTAACGAACGAGCCGAACACGAGCTTGTTAACGAGTCGAACACGATTTGTTCACGAACAACGAGCCAAAATGACAGCCCTATTTGTAATTGGCCATTAAAATTTGGGCACTGAAATCAAGGTTGTAATGTAACCAAAGAACCAGTAATACACATTGCTCTTCACCAAAAATGATTAAGAAAAAACCTGTTGATTGGGATTGCCCAAAGAAGAAGTAACACCAACAGCATAATAAGTAGGAAGCCCTCCACGGCTCCACCTGCTCTGTATTTATATAAGAAACGTCTAGCATGGTCACAAATATTCCCAGAAAATATAAAAGGGGCATTTACACACATACCACCTAATTCCTTAGTGGTCACATATCTAACACCTAAAATTTACTTTTTGTATACCCCCTAAATCTTTCATTTAAAGTGTTAGGACGTGTAAATACATAAGAATTGAGTGTGTGCATGTATATCTTCCAATATCCAATATTCTGGAATAGCAAAGATAAAGCACCTGCCACACTTCAACCGGCTTCACAAGCCATGCTGCCTGCCAGTCCCACGGCTTAATTGGCCCAAGCGTGTAGTGGATAACCTTAAGTTCTTTCTCAACCATCCACTGCCCATTCAATTATAATTTATAATATTTAATTTTATGAATATTTATTATGTATTTATTTATTTATTTATTTATTTTTGAGTCAATTCAAGCCTAACACGAGCGAACAAACTGTTGTTCTTGTTCGGCTCGTTTACATTTCGAGCTTAAAAATTTGTTCGTTTTCGACTCGTCAAGCTTAACGAACGAGCCGAACCCGAGCTGTTCGCGAACAACGGGCTAAATTGATAGCCCTGTGAGTAACCAAAAATACTTACATTAAACAATAATAATAAATACTAGGAAATGAAGAATTTTGAGGTTATTGCAATTATATAATAACTTTGCGACTTATTTTCAACAAAAACAATAAGTTCTAATTTAGTTCTAATTTTAAAAGATTTAATTCTGATCATTTCTAAAACCCATATTATGAACGGATGTGAGTAAAAAATTAGTCTATTGAAATGATATTATGAGAGGTTCTTAGAATATAAGTACTCTGACGAGTAAATTCACATAATTATTTAATATTATGGCTCACAGGAAGATAAATATATTATATATTTAAGAAACTAAATGGTTGAAAAAAATAAGGAGATTGATAACTTAAGTTTTAAACATTGGTATTCAGGAAGAAGCCAAACCATAAATGATGTGGGTATAATTATAGATAATAGTTTGAAATAAAATATTGTAAAAAATTAATATAATTAGAGATGGAATTATAACTCATAAATTTTTTTTATCGTAATGAGTGCTTATGCTCTTCATGTAAGTTTAGATATATATTTAAAATGTCTAGAATGACTTGGAATAATTAATACAAATGATGTCTCTTGAAGAAATAATTTTATTGGAGGATACTTAAATGAACATGTTGGTAGGATGATAGAAGATTTTATAAATATTTATGGAAGTTATAGTTGCTGAGTGATTTATGAATAATATATAACCATATTAAATTTTATTTTAGCGTCTATTTTTTTTATTGCTAATATTTTATTTAAGAAAAGAATTGAGCATATTTTTACTATTAAGAATGTATATAATAAAGCATAAATTGATTATTTTTTTTATGAAAATATGAAATCCAATAAGTTCTAATTTTAAAAGATTTAATACTTATCATTTATAAAACCCATATTATGAACGGATGTGGGTAAAAAATTAGTCTATTGAAATGATATTATGATAGGTTATTAGAATATAAGTACACTTACGTGCAAATTAACGGAATTAGTTGACATTATGACTCACAGGAAAATAAATATATTATGTATTTAAGAAAC